GATTTAAAATCCAGGTCCTGTGCTCAGTAAAGTGTATAAGACTTCTATGCATAAGACTGAGAGAAGAGGCCAAAGAAAGAAATGCCGGCAATATGAGCAACCTGCCCGGTCAGGGATGCTCAGAGATGTGAGCAGAGAAAACACCATGTGGGAAATGAAGCGGCGAGCAGTCCCGTGGGGATGCATGTGTACACACCCGCACCTACACACCCCAGACCTCTCAGTAGCCTGATAAACTTCCTTTACACATCTTCTACTGCTGAGAATGTGTCCAGGCAGAGCTTGGAGAAGCCTTGAACTGCAGATCACATTGCATGGAACAGGACTGGGGCACGACAAAGTCTTCTCTGGCCTATGTGTATCGGTGGGGCTTACGCATATTCCATGAGCACATAACACCTGTGAGCACATCACACCCATGAGCGCATCACACCCATGAGCGCATCACGCCTGTGAGCAGCCCAGCATTAGTTTTGCTCCAAAGGAGCCACCGGAGTGATGAAGAAGTGAGGAGATGGGCTCAGCCTGGAGCTGGGCACGCAGTGCGGATTTCCCGACGCCTGCTGCGGCACATTGGCCTCCCGGCCATGTTAAGGTTTTCAATATGCCAACAAATTTCCCATATATAGTATATTTCCCAGCCTGTGAGCCTTGCTGAGGCCTCACTGCCTTCCCTTGAAGGGATAAAAGGCATTCGTGATGTTTCTGTGCTGAACTGTGGGAAAAGAAAGGCAAGAAGCGCTGACCCCTGAGCATGCTTTGGAAACACCGTCATCAAAAAATCAACACATCAGCCCAGAAGGCCCATAGGCAGCTGATCTCCTCCTGCCTTATCAGAGAGAGGGCTCCTCTGGATGCTGGGGCAGCAGCCACTGGACATTTTTGAGATGTTTATTCTATGCAGTGTTGATACTGAAGTCAATATAACTAAAAATAAAGATTAAAAAAAAAAAATACACTGCAGCTATTTGTTCCCGAGTTGTTATGTTTATCCATACCAGCCCGGCTTTCCATTTAGGCAGGCTGGTATGTTCAGTCATTTTCAGCAACATGGTCATATCCCAGAAGATTTAGTCCACTGGAGCAACTATATTAAACACTCCTGTAATTTTCCACTGTGACTGGAATATTGTGTTCCTCTCGGGCAAGCGATGGCTGACCTGATGACAGGCCCCATGCACGTGCAGCCGGCACAGCCCCGAGCCCTCTCCTGTCTCTTGTGGTGGCAGGAGGAGACACCACTTCTGCAGCTCACTGGGGCTTGGTCTGGGCGGTGCTGAAGGTGGAGAAGGCCCCCATCAGCAGCAGCTCCTGGGAAGTAATGGGACATGCTGCTGGGGTCCATGGGCTGCCCAGTCACCCTATGGCCAGCTGCTGCTGTGGGGAAGGACATGGCCAGGGCTGCAGGCAGCTTCTCTCCCATCCCTCCTTGCACTTGCAGCCTGTAGGCATGGATGGTGTCTGTTAAGGTGGTCCAAAGAGAAAAATGCTCTTTAACAGAATAAAAGCAGGTGTTTCATCTAAACACCTCTGACCCATGAGCTCGTGCTTCCTGCTTAACGGGCTGGGCAGAGGTACCCAGCCCTCCGGCCCTGCAGAGCCGGGGAGCGCTCACCCCATTTGCAGGTGTTTACTAGCAAGCAGTCGAGTGTGTAAGGTGACCTCCCGGAGGGAGGATGTGGGACACCTCCGAGTACAGCCTTCTCCAAGCACCCAACTTCAGGTAGTGAAAACTGATGGGCAGATCTGGGTGGCTCGTCCTGCCTTCTTCCACAAGTAGCAGCGGTGGCAGAGGATGGTAGAGAAAGCTTTGCTTGCACAGCGGCATATGGACTTACCTTTGCCTGATCCTGACAACACTCATGGCACAGGATATGGGCTCGGAAAGATGGGTGGCAGAAGGAGGAACTAAAAACTTCTTTTTGGGGCTGGGTGTTCCCCTTCTCTGCGCTGTAGCATCTGCTGCAGGTTTGGATCACATGCAGACACACTGGAGGGGCTGTATGTGCCATGTCTGCTTTGGGGCTGTGCTGTGGTGGCGGCTGACTCCAACACAGCCGCTTTATCTCCTCCAGCCCAAGCGTGTGTCACCAGCAGAGAGTCACTCCTGCAATGCTGACATACAGCCAGGAGCATGGGGCCTCTGGCAGCCAGCCCTAGTCCCTGTCACTGGCCCTGGGCCACTGCCTACATCTAGCCTCCTGCATTGGAAACAGGGGTGGTTGAAGACTCCACCATGCTTCCTTCGGTGCAGGCTGCAGGTTGAGTTTGCTCTTTGGGTGCAGGTGAGGCATGAGGACAGCATGGGGATGCTCTGGGCAGAGCTGCTGCAGCCTCTGGTGCCACTGCCCAAAACCCTGGCACCCACTGCTTTCCTCTCACCAGGAGCAACACGTTCCAGGGGGGCAGCTTGGCCCCTGGTGAAGTTGCCAGCTTTCCCTCCATCTTGTCTGTAAGGCCAGAGGTGTATTTCTGGAAGAAATGATCCTTTTCTGGATGCTGTTGCCAACTCTGATTATGGACCGCTCGGGTTTTCTGCCACTGAGTAAAATCAAGGCATTGATACTCCGTGGGTTGTCAAGCAATAAATCTATTCTTCAGGTGGGCAGCGAAAGAGATCCTATTCTTATACATGTAACAGAGAAGATTAAACAGATAAACCAGGCAGGCTGCTCCCATGAACTCACTCATTTGCAAAGATTTACTGTCCAAACAAGCTTTTCTCTCTGAGAAGGTCTTGGCTGGCCATCTTGTCACTGTGAGGTGATCTCATATGGATGGAGGGATATCCAGCTTACCTGCTCACCGTAAAGGGGCATTTGTCCTTCCAGCCAAAGTCCCCTCACAGAAATCTCTCATGGGCAGATCTGTCCTATGGAGGCTAATCCCTTTCCTTCTTAAAACCTCCAGTGCCCAGACCCAAGGACCAGGGCCAGACAAGGTGCCGTAAGCAGTGTCTGGCGCTGGAGCCATCCCAGTTCCCTGCAGTGCCCGAGCGGGCTGGGACTGCGCCACGCTCTGCTCACACCTTCCAGCTTTCGCGATGCCACGTTAACCAACCATCCATTGCAAATGTAGTTTTAATTGCATTCAAATAAAATTAAGCCAAAAACATGTCAAGCAGGCAAAACGGTGAAGTTTTAAATCGAAATGGCGATGCTGGAGGCTCTTAGTCTCCAAGCGTGGCCACTGGAGGAGCCTTCCCCTGCGCACTCGCCAGCCACCGGGGAGATGGGTGCTGTGGCAGCGTGGTGCGCCCGCAGTCACTGATTAACCGCCCGCCCGGGGTGCTGCCCATGCCTCGACCCCCCGGCTGCTCATTTCTGATGCTTGACTTCACTCCGCAGTGTTTTTATAGACCTTTTGCCGCAGCACTCATTTCCCACAGCTTTTTTTTTTTTTTTCCCCCTTTACAGTTTCAAAGGTTTCAAATGTAGGGAGTCAGCCTGGTTTCTGCCATCCCTGGCTTGCTTTTCATGGGTAGCTTCTCTGCAGCTCAGCCGTCAGGCCTGTGTGGATGCAAGGACCTGGCCAGCTTTGAAAATATTTAGGTACAATTCCCCTCCTCATGAGAAAAGCTTAAAAGCCTCACAAAATGGAAGTGAAATGGGATTTCTGTGAGCCATCCATGCTACCTGGCTTTCTGCAATATGGTGAATATTACCCCTTAGAGAGGAAAATATCCTCCATGGCCACTTCTCCCTGCCCAGCTCCACCTTTGCTGTGCTCCCTAGTGCAGGAACGAAGACTGCATTGCCAGTGGTGTAAGCAGTAACAGGGGATGAAGACGTTGATTGAAATCATATTATATTTATTACACACAGAGATATAAAAACAAATTACCAAAATAGTATAATTTTTTTGTGAGTCCACAGGACCTTGAAAGAAAAATACATACGTAAAGCGGATTGGTAGACTCGTGACTTTTCTGGTGTTGTATGTCTTCCTTTTCTTTCCCCTCACACTCATGAACAAAATGAACACTCTATGCAATGTGCTTTAAAGATGCTTTACAGAAAAGATATATTTTAGTGCTGAAAACTGCAGTAAACTGTGCTATATTCCATACTGGTGTTAATGAGGAAGTATAATGGCTCTATATATTGCAAACAATAACACAGAAGAAAACAAATAGAATGTTCAGTTTTAAATACTAACATAAAAATAAAGTAAACTCCAGGCCCACCATGAATCGCTGGGTTGTGATACGCGAATGCAAGTCCTTTCCGCTCTCTGCATCCAACTCCTTTTCCTGCAGGCAGAGATTTTCTCCTCTGGCAATTGCATTTTTTTGTCTCAAAGTCTCTTCTTCTTCTCAGACTGCTTGTGAAGTCTTTCTGGAGTCCTGCCCACGGGGTCCAAGTGCTGGTCTGAAGCTGGGACTTCAGTGCAAATACTTTATCTTTCAGGTTGTATCCTCAGATACTCTGAGTGGCCAGTGCCAGGCTGGCCGTTCCCTTTATACCATTAATGCTGTCCAGCTGGGGGGGTCTTCAGGAGTGCTTCTGTTTCAAGGAGTTTTTTTCACGTGCCACCTTCAACCTCTTCTTTTCCCAACACAATTAGACTTCCCGCACTGTGAAGCGGCAGGTAGTAAAGTGCTTTATACAATGAAATATTTACACTAGATCTAGGTTCATTTTTTAACACTTCAGGGACAAAAGCTCAGAGACGCTGCACCCTCCGGAGCTGGCTCTTCTCTGCGGCCGTGCGATGGGTGGAGAGCTGGCCTCCGCCTCACGCCACTCTTGTGCCAAGGCAGAGGGATTTGATTCATTCCGGCAGCTCCATCCTCACCAGCACCAGCAGAGAATGTAGCCCCCGAAACCTTCAGTGGGGTGACCAGGTTAAAAGCAAACTGTGCCCGATTTTCTTTGATGGGTGCCGTGTCCTAACCTGAGGGGGTGTTTCTAAAGGCCGGTTGTGGCTGGCCTGCTGCCCCCCGGCCCCTCCCGCCCC